TATATATGAATATATAAAAAATATATCAAAATGCGTGTGGGTACTCAAATGAAAGCTCTTGATGAGTGTAACATCAAAATGAGCTTATATCTTTAAAAATGTCAATATTTAAGAAAGTACAGTGCAATTATTAATTAAATCAATTGAATCAAAAATAATTCAAATTTAAGATTAGAAATAAAATTGCCAAATTGAATACTTAAATACACAAACTTGAAAAATATTTTTTTAAATCCAATAATTGATAGCAAAAGTTAATTATCAACATTTTTTAATTAAGAAATTTTTCTTAACTAAAATAAATTTTAATTAGTTAAAAAATTTGTCTGTTTAATTTAATGATCAATTTTTTTGGCTTAAAAATTTGTTTTTTTTTTAACTAATTATTTTATCAGTGTATTTTATTATTTGCAGGTACCTTAACATTAATAAAAAATTTCAATTTTATTAAAAATAATAATTATTAATAATTAATTAGATTTTGTATGATGCTTATTAACATGTTCAATAAACACATATCTCCTAAAAGTCTTGTAATCGCAAAAAACACATCTAAAAGTGGGCTCTTTTCCGCAAACATACTTCAAGTGCTTGTACAGACTGCTTTTTGCGGTGTAAGTGCGACTGCAATGCTCGTTCGGACACGAGTAACTGTGAACTTTATTAGCGGATCTAACTTTGAAGAGCTCGATGACATTTGTTTCGAGTTCCGGGTGTTTGGACCTCGCGTGTTTCTTCACGTCGTTTTTCCAGTGCGTCTTGTAGTCGCAGCGCTCGCACTTGTACCGCATTGGCTTCGCGCAGTGGTATTGCACGTGAAAATTTCGAGCCCCGCGGGTCTTAAAAGACTTTCCACAGGACTGATTCACGCACGTGAATTTTTCTTCGCTTCTTTTTCTAGAGAAATTTTCTGGTTTTAGCTCCAGAGGGTCTTGTGCTTCGTAAACATATTCTGAAACATTAAAATTTACTGTGTTAGTAATAATAATTAATAAGAATTATCATTGCAATTTTATTTTATGCAATATTTATTTTTTTTTAGTAAAAAAAAAATTTTGAGAAATTTTTTTTATTAAAAAATTCTTTTTTAATTTATAGAATACATTTTTTTCTTATAAATTATTATTTATAAAGTAATAACATTATAAATTTTAATACTTTAGTCTTAACATTAATATCATTTTAGTTTTTTTTTTTTATAAAATACTTGTATTTATTGGACTTATAATTTTGATTTCTTAAAATACTAATTAAATAATAATTTCACTTTAACATAAAAAAAAAAACTATCAAAAATACTAAACATAAACATTAATATTATGAGACCAAAATTTTCTTAAGAACATTTCAAATATAAAAAGAAGAAATCATTAATTACAAAACAAAATTTAGCCTCATTAAAATAATCAACTTTATTCAAAAGAGGAAATAAAAATGTATTATTTAAAATCAACCATAAATTTCTTTATTTCTTCTTTAAATAAAAAATTAATTTCTTCTCAAAACTTCCATAAAAATTTCAAAAATAGTAAAGAATTATTTTATTGCAATAAAAATAATTAACTTTATTCAAAAGAAGAAATAAAAAAATTTTGTTAATTAAAATCAATTAAAATTTTCTTTATTTCTTCTTTCAAAAAAAAATAAATTTCTTCTCAAAACATCCATAAAAATTAAAAAAATTAAAAAGTATTCTTCTATTGCAATAAAAATAATTAACTTTATTCAAAAGAAGAAATAAAAAAATTTTATTAATTAAAATCAATAAAAATTTCTTGATTTCTTCTTTTAAAAAAAAAAAATAAATTTCTTAGAATATTAATAAAAAAAGAAATTCTTCTTCTATTGCAATAAAAATAATAAACATTATTTAAAAGAAGAAATAAAAAAATTTTATTAATTAAAATTTTTTATATTTCTTCTTTAAAAAAAAATAAAATTTCTTCTCAGAAAATCCATAAAAATTTCAAAATAAAGAAAGTTTTCTTCTTCTATTGCAAGGATTGTAGAGCTCAATAACGTAATAATCAACATCAGGATGTTTGCTCTTAGCATGTGTCTTAACATGGGCCTTATGATGGGACTTATAGCAACAATGTGAGCACTGAAACCTCGGAGGTTTACCGCACTGATAATTAACATGCCGATTTCTATTGCTTTTGTCGTTAAAAACGCTCTTGCAATTCGGGTTTGGGCATGCGTATTTAATAGCTTCAAACCTGACAAATGGCGCTTTATCTTTCTTCCCATCTTTCTGCCTGTTAGCCGTCAGATGGCGGCACATTTCCCTGGTATCTGAAACAACAAACATTCCTTTGTCAGTATATATTCTTCTTTTAAAAAATTTTCAATCAAAGAAGAAATAAATAAAATAATCCCAAGGAAAATAATTTACATTTATTTACAGTTTAGTTTTTTATTGAGATTTTATATCTTAATATAATTTAACATATAATATTAATTATTAATTATCAAAATTTTATTTTATTACTCGGCTTTTTTGTTAATATAATTACGTTTTTTGCAAGGATTGTACAGCTCGATAACGTAATTTCTGAAAAATCGGTGCCGCGAATTAATGTGGACTTGTACGTCAGATTTGCGGTGCGATTTGTGGCTGCAGTACGGGCATTGGAATCGCGGTGGCTTACCACAATGGTAATTGTAGTGGCGATTGCGGTTGCTCTTATCTGTAAACACGCTGTCACAGTCTGCATTAGGGCACGCGTATTTAACAGTCTCGATTTTGATAAAATTATCGTCGGTTAGCTTCTTCGATTTTTTGCGAGGCAGTTGTGGTTTTATGTCTGCAACAGAAAAATTTTTTGTTAGTATTTATGCAAATATTTATCTTTCTTACGGACAAAATAAGTTTTTACAATTTTTTAATTTTAAAAATAGGACAATAATATTATTATAAAAATAATTAAATAGTAAGTGAATTATATTAAATTTTTTTTATAATTTTTCAAAAAATAGTACAGTCACGTTTTTAAAGTTAAGTACATAGTATTTTATGTAAATGAAGTTTTATTCTTGATTTTTTATTTGTGATACTGAATATGGTTGGTAAATTTACAAATTTTTTATCTGGATTTTATAAGAAGAAATTTTTTTTTTCTTCATTAAGTAACATATGATAAAGCCTGCAATATTTTTTATAATTTTTATATTAATTATTATTAAAAAAATATTTAAAAAAGTAATTTACAATTACAAATATAAATAATTATTAATTTTAATTAATAATTGAATTTTAAAATAATTAATATTATTCTTCTTAATTATGATTATGAAGAATACAAGTAAAGTTTAAAAAAGTTATTATTACCTTACAAAACCTTAAATATTTCATTTAATTTTTTTTTTTAAAATGAAAATGACCATTATTTTATAAAAATTTAACAAAAAGAAGTCTTTAAATAATTAATAATTAAAATAAAGTTAATAAAATAATTAATTTAATTTAAAAGAAGAAATCTTAAACCAAGAAAATTATTTTAAAAAAATTTATTTTTTTTTTTGAATTAAATAGAAATTTTTTAAACAATTTTTTTGTTTAATATTTCTTCTTTTAACTCAACTTAAATTTTTTTTATCAATCCAGGCCTTATTATCCACGACAATTAATTTAATTGTTATATTTTTTATCAAAAGCAAACAATTGACTTTTTAAAATCAAATTTTTCATTTAAAAATCATTTTTTTACATGCATAATTTTTTTAAAATTTTATATAATATAATTATTTATTAAAAACGTCTTACGTTTATAAAAAAAAATCCCACCATCATCAGTATCACAAAAAGCTCCTAATAATTAACATTGAATTGTCGCTCAATAATATTAATTTCTCTGCTGGGATGTTTGCGCTCGGTATGTTTCTTCAGACTGCTCTTAGAGTGGGACTGAAGATAGCAGTACCCGCACTTGAACCTAGGGGGCTTTCCGCAGTGGAACTTGATGTGCTGGATCCAGTTCCTCCGATGGATGAACCTGCGGTAGCAATTGACGTTCTGGCAGACGAAAGGTCCCTCAGCTTCTTCGACGTAATCCGCCGGTTCCAATGAATTAGATTGTCTTCTTCTTGATCGCCGTCTTTTTCTTCCTGGAAAACAATTTTATTTATTAATACAAATTAATTCCAGGGACAATTACCACAAACAATAATAATAATAATTATTACAATTAATGAAGATGATAATAAAATAGATAGATAAATAAAAATAAATATTTACAGGAAGAAATAAAAAAATTAATTAGAAATTTAGTAACATATTTATTAATGAAAAAAAATGTTTAGGAGTTATTTTTAATACTAAATAATTAATTATAGTGTTTTAAATTAATTAATTAATTATAGAAGAAATTTTCTTCCCACATTCATATTTTTGATGGCTCCTTAAAATGTTGTAAAAATTCTTCATTTTTTTTTTTAACTTGCAAAGTTTTCTTCTTTTTTATTTTTTTAAAGTGATTTTCCACCGCGTGCTCCACCATAGTCTTCAGATCCTCTAAAATTGCATCGCACTTGTATTCTGACTTTATTTTCACCGTCTCGAAGCAATCTTCTCCTGAAAAAACAAGTTAAATTTGTTAGTAAATATTCTTTAAAGAAATAAAAAATTTGTTAAAGTCAATTTTTGGCCAATCTTGACGTTGTTAATTTTTTTAAGGTGATTTTCCTGGAAAATATAAGTTTGATTATATAAAAAGAAACTTTTTTTTGGGAAGAAAAATAAATTAAGTTAGAAATTTTCTTATTAGAATTTTTAATATATAAAATACAAAATTAAGTAATAACTCAATGGCACACTTTTAATATAAAATATAAACTTGAAATTTTTTTAAACAAATTGAGGTAACAATACTTAATTACTCATGTTGAAAAATTATTAATATTTTTAATTAAGTAATAACGTTTAATCGTTAATTTTTGATTTTAAATATTAAGATTTGGTTTATATTTTGATTTTTGGTCACAATATTTTAAGAATTATTTTTATTATTAATTAAATCAAATTTTATGTTAAATAAAACAATTTTTTTCATGCTTCAATTTTAATTTTTTTAAATCAGTAAATAATTAATAAATTATTTAGTATTAAATTAAAGCAAATTTTTAATCTTAAATAAATTGTTTTTCTTCTGAAAAAATTAATTTCATTAATTTTTCAATATTAAAAAGATGAGCTTTAATATTAATTAAATAAAAAATTTTTTTCATTACTTGCCAACTAATTTTTAAACAAAAAAATTTTTAAACACAAAAAAAAAATAAACTATATTCGAATAAAATTAAAAAATATGTTTTACCGCTTTATAAGAATAAAGCTCTCGAATATCAGCACTCGAATTTTTATGCTTCTTATAAGAATGTAACGTAAGATTATGCTTAATATGTGACTTTTTTCCACAATGACCACACTCATACCTCTGCGGTTTTCCGCAGTGGTACCTAACATGTGTGTACCTGGCATGCTCGTTCTTAAAAGCCTTCAAACAGGATGTATTAGTGCAGGGGTACCTCGTCTCAATCTCCTTCTCCGGGACGAATCTCAGCCACTGATAATTTTGTTCTGCGAACAAAAAAAAAAAAATTAATTCAAATTCTACTTGACGTTTGATAAAACTTACGTTTTTGATAATTCAGTACCCAGCACCCACTTTTCACATGAGTTTCTAATAACCTTTTACTCGCAAATTCGCTCATGCATGCTGGGTTAGTGCATGCAAATTTTTTCCTCTTCAAGCCATAAAATTCAAGTATTTTATCATCGAGTTTTGGTAAGACCACCCATGGGCCTTTATAATCTGAAAAAAAAATAATTTTTTTTTTTTATTAATAAAATATTTTTTTTTGCCCATAAAAATTTCCCCTTTGATGCAGAAAATATTTTACAAAATTATTTTTGTTAGTAAACATTCCTGGCGTTAGTTTTCCTGCAACACAAATTTTTGCAATTAAAAATAATTATTTTTTTAATAAAAAAATTAATTATTTAGAAAAAAGCTGAAGAAAGTCCTGAAAAAAATTTTTGATTAATTTTTAATAAAAAAAAATTCAACTTATTATTGACGTCATATATTTTAAATCGCCAGTTACAAAGAATATAAAATTAATCGCTAATAAGTAATTATAATTATTTATAATAATAATAATAATAATATCTACCAGAGATGAATAACAAAAAAAAAATTTTCCCAACTTAATTGTTTCAAAAACAATCACACATACTCAAAACTCATAAGTTACAAATTTTACACAAGTGATGGTGCTTAGCTAAAAATATTTTTGTTCAACACTTGAACTGCTAACAAAATAAAATAATTTTAAAAAAAATATAATTGTACAGAATGTTAACACTAAATTTTAAATCTTAAGTGTTAAATATTATTTATAACTCGAAAAACTGTCTCAAAAACTTCTAAGAGTTATCATTTATTATTTAAACCATATGTTTAATTTTTATTTTAAATATAATTATAATTAGATTATAATCATAATAATAATCGTAGGTGAAATCACTTCTTACAGTACTGAATAATGTATATAATAGTAAATTTATATAGTGGGTTAATAATGCCAAGAGGGTGAAAAAAATTTTTTTTGGTATGGAAATATTTTGGGAGTTCAAAATTTGAAAAAGGAAAGTCAAAAAATTATTAGAAAATTTTTTCAAAAGCTTTTTTGGTGTAAAAAAAAA